GAGAGCACCAACCGAACGCGAGGGAAACATATGATTGTTTACCTCACATTTTTGAAAAATCGCCAAGTCGCCTGCGAGTTTTTCACCCTGCTCACAGTTGAGAAGTGTGATGCAGGGTCTCTTTTCGAGGTGCTCTTGAATCATCTCCGCTCCTCATCCGTCGATGTGTCCAAGATCGTGGCGTCGGTCATGATGGGGAAGGATAACGGCTTGGTGGCGCGGATTCGGGAACACGTCCCGCATCTCTTTTCCTATCACTGGATCGCCCACCGGTGAGTTTACAAGGTGTGAAGATGCGCAAGACATGTCACTTGTTTTACTCACACATGTTGTTTTATGTCCCCTGCGTCCTACATGGAGGCTCTAGATGTGAAGGATGCTACGACGCCAAATCGGACCTGGACATGGTGGACAAGGTGGTGCGCACCGTGGCGGCAGAGCTCGGGAAGTCGTGCGTCTGGAGTCAACGCTTCAAGTACCTGCAGCGAGTGATCTACAACACGAACCTTGAAGTCCAGGGGATCCACACGGTTCGGTGGCTGTCACGAGGGGATGCGGTGCGCCGGCTGTGCAAGGTCCTGGGCGCGTGCATCGTTCTGCTCTGGGAGAACAACCACAAGGCGTACGAGATTGTGACGTGCTACAAGTTCCAGTTCTGCCTGTTCTTTCTCGCCGACATCCTCGCCGACATGAACGACCTCTACCGTTGCTTCAAGAAGCGTGATGTAAGTGTATTTCACTTTCACGAGTAGGCCTGTGTTTGTGCATGGTTTGTTTTACTGTTAGTAACTGTGTAACATGTGCTCAATGGCGGTGTTCTGACAGCTAGATGTGACGAAGATTTCTAAGACCATTGATGTTGCTTAGGATCCGGTCACTTTGAAGACTTACGACGATCTCAACTAAACGCAAACCCGCTCAGTAGAATTGCGCGCGCTGGTCTTAGCTACCACCTCGAAGTTGAATCAGGTCAAAAGGTGGTCTAGGGAGTGAGAACCAACTCAAAACGTATAGCTGCTGCTTTCACTAGAAAGGATGGAGGAAGAACAAAACATTAAGGCACAGAATGAGGAGTTGGGGGGTTTCAAGAGAACCTTGTGAGGGAAGGCTCTCCAAATGCTTGGGAAGGATGGTGGGAACCTTCCTAGCATCAAAGATGCAGCCCTCATAATGAGGTCCTTGAGGTGTCACATGCAAAATTCAATCCAATTGGATTTTGCCTAGGTGTTGCAACATTTGCAACCCATGCTAGAAACTTCTAGCCACCCCAATCCAAGAGTCAAACTTGCCTTCCTAACCACCCAACCAAAGATCCCTTTATAGTCATGTCCCAATAATCGCCCAATCTAGTTAATATCCCAAATCAAGATAGAATTCCCAAATCTTGGAAATCTTGTAACTTGGGCGATCTTGGTCGGAATAAGGCGATCTTGGTATCGTTGGAAAGCTCTGGATTTCTCCTGCGCGATCAAGCATTTAGACTTGGAGAAAAACACAGAGGTGATAAAATCCAACAGCCATGCATAATGAATTATGCTCATGCAAATGACGCAGGCATGATTTGCACAAGCACACAGCAGGACGTTAGGATGACATGCACGCATACTGACGTGCATACAACAAACTCCCCCTCAGACTAACGGACTGCATGCACACACACTCACACGCATGCAAACTCATCACACAGACAAACACACATGCCCCATGATATTGTTGGATACACTAGTGCAACGCCATGCCACACATCTTAGCACACTTCCAATGTGCGCTCTCGGGAAGTCTCTTGGTAAGAAAATCAGCTGCCTGCTTGCAGGCCTTCACCCAATGAAGCTCAACAGCCCCTTCCTTCACCATCTGCCTCACCCAGTGCCACTTAACCTTCACGGTTAGCACACTCCGAATTAAAACGCAATTCGACCACCAATCAAACGATCGCAAGCAGAGCTACAATATCATGGTCTCATTCGTCAATATTGGTTGAGAATCGATGACGATTCGTCGCTTCAAAGTCGACCACCCGCTCTGATACCACTTGTTGCTTAGGATCCGGTCACTTTGAAGACTTACGACGAACTCGGATCTCAACTAAACGCAAATCCGCTAGGTATAATTGCGCGCGCTGGTCTTAGCTACCACTCGAAGTTGAATCAGGTTACAAGGTAGTCTAGGGAGTGAGAACCAACTCAAAATGTATAGCTGCTGCTTTCACTAGAAAGGATGGAGGAAGAACAAAACATTAAGGCATAGAATGAGGAGTTGGGGGGTTTCAAGAGAACCTTGTGAGGGAAGGCTCTCCAAATGCTTGGGAAGGATGGTGGGAACCTTCATAGCATCAAAGATGCAACCCTCATAATGAGGTCCTTGAGGTGTCACATGCAAAATCCAATCCAATTGGATTTTGCCTAGGTGTTGCAACATTTGCAACCCATGCTAGAAACTTTCAGCCACCCCAATCCAAAAGTCAAACTTGCATTCCTAACCACCCAACCAAAGATCCCTTTATAGTCATGTCCCAATAATCGCCCAATTTAGTTAATATCCCAAATCAAGATAGAATTACCAAATCTTGGAAATCTTGTAACTTGGGCGATCTTGGTCGGAATAAGGCGATCTTGGTATCGTTGGAAAGCTCTGGATTTCTCCTGCGCAATCAAGCATTTAGACTTGGAGAAAAACACAGAGATGATAAAATCCAACAGCCATGCATACTAAATTATGCTCATGCAAATGACGCAGGCATGAATTTCACAAGCACACAGCAGGACGTTAGGATGACATGCACGCATACTGACGTGCATACAACAATTGGGTCCACCACGCCGGATCTGACGGAGCGGTACTTGACAAACGACAAGCCGTTCGGTGGCGAGAGCACGAGCTGGCTGGTCGCCTTTCTGAAGCTGCACGGGCAAGGCGGAGGCAAGAAGGTTCGGGTGCGAGGCGTGGACGGTGAAGGACGCCCAATCAACCACCTCTACACCATGCACGAGAGGAAGTACCCGGGGCACAAATACGGAAGCATTTACGCCAAGTGCGTGAAGCTGTGCCGCATGTTCACCCACGATTGCGTGAACAACCTCAACAAGCGTCTCGATGACGTGGGGAAGCTGGGGCTGACAAAGCTGTTTCGGGCGGAGAAGTGGGTCAACGGGATCGGAAGTGCCGTGAGTGGCTTCTGGGATGCAGTAAGCATTTCCGCAACAAGCTGACGGGATTCGACCTCAAGGCCGCAGAGAGGGAGCTCCCAACATTCTGTGCGATAATGGAGATGCACCACGAGCTGGAGAGCTTCAAGCAGGGCCTCACCAACATTTTCGGGAGCGCAGCCCGAAGAAGTAACGCACTGCTTGGGGCAGCGCTGTTTCTGAGTGTTAGTGTGCTGTGCATGTCATAAACGTTTCTTCACGGTGTGTGCTGCTGCGTGATTGTACCTGGCAAGAGATGGCCCAACCTCATCCTTCTGTGGCACGCGATCGCGGTGCTCCCCTTGTCAACCGTGGAGTGCGAGAGGGGTTTCTCCAGGAAAAACGTCATCAAGTCGTGGGTCCGAGGCGCACTCTACAACGCGCGGCTCGGCGAGCTGATGCAGATCTCGCTCCTCAAGTATGACATCGACTGGCCGGAAGCACTGGAGGTCTGGTGGTCCATGAGGAGGAGGCGCCCAGCGAAGAGCGCAAATCTGGCTGTGGCAGAGCGTGGCTGGAAGGGTAAAGAGAAGGAAGGTGAAGACTGTTAGAGACTAAGGACGAGGTCTAAGAAGATTAGGAGCCGAAATATCTCAAAAATCGTTGGCTTAGAATTCTGGACAGAAACGTCGCGCTCACAAGAAACGCCGTCTACGGAAATTTCACTGTTGAAACTTCACAAATTTCAGATATGTTGTAGCTCTAGAGCGTAGCTACAATTCCCAAGTTGAATCGTATCAAGAGGTGAAGTATAACTCGACTTATCAATTTCGGCGCACAGGGGGGTATGCTGCCATAGAATCTTAACTCAATCACAAATGTCTCACAAGATCAACACAAGAAAGTTAGAGTTGCTAGAAACCAGGTAGGAGGGAAGAGGAGGACGAGACGGAAGGTCCCAAGAGAGTCCCCAACCAAGGAAACCCCATAAGCACATCAAATCCCCTCCCTATAGCAACCCCACTTTTACTTTTGTCACTTTCCCAACCTCCACAATCCACCTCACCCAAGTTGGCCACACCTGCCAACCCAATTTGGTTTCTCCCAATCACTTGGCAGCATCTACAGTAGAAAAGACGAATTTCCCAACCCCCAAAAGTCTGTACCCCATATTGAGTCAACCCGCAAATTCCCAAAGTCACCGCATCACAATCAAAACTTCGAACGATAATATCTTTCTCGTTCTTGCTCCGATCGCGGCGATTCTTGGTTCGTCGGAAAGCTCTTGAGCAGACGAGTCACTTCAGATATCTGCTCAGGCCAGATAACATTCACACACACTCGGAAAATCCAAACCATGCCAAATGCAAATTCTTGCACACGCTCACACCACGCATGCAACGCACGAACATATGATGGGAGGCAGACAGACGTGAATGCAAATGATAGCATCACATAACAAACTCCCCCTCTGGCTGCCAACCATCATCCCACATGCCATAGCTCAAGCACGTACCCTCAATGCAGACTCATTCCAACAAGCTTCATGCCCTTCGAGTGCTCAGGTTCAGCCAGGCGCTTGGTGAGAATGTCAGCCGCCTGCTGATGGGTCTTCACAATCTCCAGTCGCACCTCCTTGTGTGCTGCTGCGTGATTGTACCTGGCAAGAGATGGCCCAACCTCATCCTTCTGTGGCAGGCGATCGCGGTGCTCCCCTTGTCAACCGTGGAGTGCGAGAGGGGTTTCTCCAGGAAAAACGTCATCAAGTCGTGGGTCCGAGGCGCACTCTACAACGCGCGGCTGGGCGAGCTGATGGAGATCTCGCTCCTCAAGTGTGACATCGACTGGCCGGAAGCACTGGAGGTCTGGAGGTCCATGAGGAGGAGGCGCCCAGCGAAGAGCGCAAAGCTGGCTGTGGCAGAGCGTGGCTGGAAGGGTAAAGAGAAGGAGGGTGAAGACGAGGTTCTGGAACAGGACCTGGGCGACAATCAAGAGGTCGTGGGGGAGGAGGAGGAGGACAACCCCTTCCTCTCGGACGATGAGGATGTGGAGGAGGTGTTCCACATTGACAAGCCGGTGCACTAGATAGTGTAGGAAACTTCCAGCATGCTGTATACCGCAGTGAAAAGCATAGTGCAATCTTTTAAGCAACACTGAATTCTTGTTGTGAACCCTGACGCATCAGAGTGAGACTTCGTTGGACACTGAGAAATCAGAGTAGCAGACCTCTGGAAAATGTGCACCCATAATACAGGGGGAAATTTTGTCCTGGAATTAGGGAGGCCTAATATGAAACGTCAGCCCTGGCATGAGGGCGTTGAAGCCATCAGCATCAGTTGAAATGAGCATGCCCAGAATGCGTAGCTCCTTAATGTCCGCCTGTCCCTGTTATGTGTACGGGAGGGAAAGGAGGGGAGCGGAGAGAGGTGTCGAATAGAGATATACCAAGCAGTAGTAGTGGATATCAGCATGCCTGGGATGTGCGGATGACAGTGTAGCTCCTTTATGTCCGTCTGACCCTGCAGTTGGTGGCAGAGGGGGGTGGGAGAGGTCGACGAAGGGGAAGGAGGGGAGCGGAATAGGGTGTTGAACAGAGAAGACCAAGAAGTAATGTAGTTAAAGCAGCAACAATGGAAATCAGAATCCCGTGATGTGCGGATGCCAGTGTAGCTCCTTGGTGTTTGTCTGACCTAGCAGTGGGTGGCAGAAGGGGGTGGGAGAGGGGTAAGAAGAGGAGCAAAAGGAGTACATTGAAGGAGACTGAGGAGGAAACTGGTTGCAGCAGCAGGTGCGGGTAGCAGTTTTGAATGAATGGTGCCTCTACAGCACACCTGTTCCCAACAAGTGTCGTTTGTTGAACTCTGCACATTGCAAAGGCAAAGTGAAAGCGAGAAACGACGCCAAGACGCGGCAGCAAGAGCTAGAGATGCTAGCAATGCCTACCTAAAGATGCGGAAAAGCAGAGAGGTGGAGAAAGGTCAGCGATGGCCAGGAGGTGAGTGAGTGCATGGTGCTTGCTACCACAAACCACAGCATGGCCGAATGGTGCTCGCGTGGATGGGTGGTGATCAACAGAGAGGTGTGGCTCCAAAGTGTGGCGGCGCTTATGCGAAAATAGAACATGATGGTTGGGCGAGGGTAAAGGAGTTCGGGTGAAAGTGCGCAAGGGAGAGCATGCCTGCTGCACAAAGAGCAACTGAGGAGGCAGTCTCTCTACACACGATGTTATATGCACCTCAGAATTTAGAAAGTGTGGGTGACAGAGTGGAAGCAAGAGAGCATGCCTGGTGCACGAAGAGCAGCTGGGGAGGTAGGTCTGATGGCGCCTCTACCTGCGGCTTCTTCTGCCCTGCTTCAAACTCCGCCTCTTCCTCTGCATCTCGCTCCAATGATGGGTTCCGCACATGGTGGCGGATTAAGGAAAGCAGTTAACGGGGTAGGGGGAGGAAATAATGGAGGGGAGGGGTAATGGGGGGAGGGAGGGTAGGGATGAGGAGAACGAAAGGGAGGGAGTGGCATTTGCTGGTGACCTCAACTCCCACCACCACCACTCCCCCCATTACCACTCCCCCCAACTACCACTCCCCCCACCACCACTCCCACCACTGTCAGAATCCCAACCACTAGACCATTGGGATACAAGGGCTTGTTAAGTAGCGGGTTTGTGCGCCCATAACCCCCCAGTAACCCTTCCCTAGGATCAATCAGGGATCACCAGTGGACCTCTGACAACCACCACTACTCCCACCACCACTCCCACCACCACCACTCCCACCACCATTCCCACCACCACTCCCACACGACTTACGTGATCTGGTTGTCAGCGCAGGAGGTAGCGAGCGTGGAGCTCTCAGCGCGCTCCACTCGATGGACATGATGGGCTGGCGGTGGTGGTTGAAGTGCGCTATGAACGCGCTCCTTCCCCACTGCAACCTCTCACCACCACTCACATGATCTGGTTATCCGCGCAGGAGGTAGCAAGAGTGGAGCTCTCATGCGCGCTCCACTCGATGGACATGATGGGCTGGCGGTGGTGGTTGAAGTGCGCTATGAACGCGCTCCTTCCCCACTGCACCCTCCCACCACCACTCACGTGATCTGGTTGTCCGCGCAGAAGGTAGCAAGAGTGGAGCTCTCATGGGAGCTCCACTCAATGGACGTGACAACTGGCGGTGGTGGTTGAAGTGCGCTATGAACAAGCACATGCTGGGAGCGAATGGCACTTGCTGGTGACCCCAACCCCCCCACCAACCACTCCGACACCACTTACGTGATCCGGTTGTCGCCACAGGAGGAAGCGAGCGTGGAGCTCTCATGCGGGCTCCACTCAATGGACGTGATTGGCTGGGGACAACGCACAAGCTGGGAGCGGGTGGCACTTGCTGATGACCCCAACTCCCCCCACCACCGCTCCCACCACCAATCCCACCACCACTGCCACCACTCCCACACCACTTACGTGATCTGGTTGTCAGCGCAGGAGGTAGCGAGCGTGGAGCTCTCATGCGGGATCCACTCAATGGACGTGATTGGCTGGCGGTGGTGGTTGAAGTGCGCTATGAATGTGCCCCTTCCCCACTACACTCTCCCACCACCACTCACGTGATCTGGTTGTCGCCACAGGAGGTAGCGAGTGTGGATATCTCATGCGGGCTCTACTCAATGGACGTGATGGGCTGGCGGTGGTGGTTGAAGTGCGCTATGAAGGCGCCGCCCTCCTTGCCCGCCCCCGCCTCCCGCAGCAAGCGCAGATCCCAGATGCGGAAGGAGCCGTCATCACACCCCGATACCACCATGCAGCTTGCCAGTCTGGGACGTGGGGAGAGAGGGGGCACAGGGGGAGACGGAGAGGAGGGGGGCAAAATGCGCGAGCAAGGGCGGCGAGAGGGGCGCAGGTCCCAGATGCGGAAGGACCCGTCGTCACACCCCAATGCCACCATGCAGCTCGCGAATCTGAGAAAAGGGGAGAGAGGAGGGGGGCGCGGAGCGGTGGAGTAGGGGGCCAGGGAGAGGAAGGGGTGGAGGCGGGAAGTGCAGAATGTGCATGTAAGGATACGGAAGGGAGTGGGTGGGAAGGAGTCAACAATGACAGGAGCGAGTTTTGAGATGCCTCAAAACTTGGGGAGTGTGTGGGAAGGAGTCAACGACGGCGGGAGCAAGCAAAGAGGGTTGGTGAAGAGAGGAGGAGTGGGGAGGTGAGGACCCGGAAGAAGGGGTTGAATGTTAAGCAGTGCAGTGCAGTGCAGAGCAGAGCAGAGCAGAGCGGGGCAGAGTTGAGCAGATCAGAGCAGGGCAGAGCAGAGCAGAGCAGAGTAGGGCAGAGCAGAGTTGGGCAGAGCAGAGTAGGGCAGAGAAGAGTAGGGCAGAGCACATCGGAGCATACCTGTTCCAGTAATTGACATTAATATCGGCGTCATTCGCCTTGACTTGCAGCGCAGTGGAGGGGAATGAAGATCGAAGATTAGGCAGCGCAGAGCACAGTGGAGCACATCACATTGCCCCCCTGTTCCAGGAGATGACATTGACATCGGCGTCATGAGCCTTGACTCGCAGCGCAAGGGCGGTGCGGGGTAGGAGGGGAATGAAGATAGAAGATGAGGCTGAGCAGAGCAGCACATCACAGCACAGCACTGCGAAGCTCACCTGGACTCGCAGCGCGGGCGTGGTGCGCGAGGCAGCACGCACGTCCCAAAAGCACATCGTGCCGTCCACCCCGCTGGATGCAAACACCTCGAGCTCCGTGGCTCCAGTAGTGGTGGTGGTGTGGTGGGTGAGGGGGGGGTGGGGGGGAGAGAGCGGAGGGAGGAAGGAAGAGAGGAAAAGGAGATGACATTTGAGTCCAATTGAAAGCCACCCCGCTGGATGCAAACACTTCGGGCTCCACTGGCAGTGGTGTTGTGCAGGGGGGAGCAGGGAGGGGATGGAGGAGAGGGGAGGTGGAGGGTAGGTAGGTGGGTTACACCCCGTCGTCTCAGTCGCGGCGTCTGGAGAGGGTAGAGGAGGAGCCACAGCAACAGCATGAGAGAGTAGAGGAGGAGTCACAGCCGCAGCACAAGAGGGTAGAGCAGGAGTCCCGGCAACAGCAGTAGGTGCAGCTGCAGCCGCAGCGGGAGAGGGCAGAGGAGGAGCCACAGGAGCAGCAGCAGGGGCAGGTGCCGTTGCAGTAGACGCCAGAGGAGGCGGAGCAGCGGCGACTGCGCGACCTGCCCGACCCAGCACCTTCATGCTTTGTTCGTGGTCCCCTACCGTCCCCTCCTGTTCCCCCTGTCCAGTCCCTTTCCTCGTCCCCGTGGGCTCGTCGTGCTCCTCTCAGTCGTGCTGTGTCTCCAGAGCCCCGTCGGTCCTGTTACCGTGCAGACGGCCCGTTTCACCTTGTTCCCCGCTCTCGTGTTCCACCTCCCCTGGTCCTTCCACAGCCTCCCGCGTCCGACTACCTCCGTGCCTCCCGTCCTGTCATCTCCCGTGTTCTGTCCGCGTTGGACACTCACCCGAGTGCTCCCCCCGTTGTCTGTCTCGGCTCTTGTTACCACTTTCACTGGTTATGCCTCTTCCCACCGCCTTGACTACGCCGCTCACTCGGTGAGTGGCCCTGCTCGTTCTCCGTCCTCTGGGGGTGCTCCTCTCTTTTTCCAGGAGGTCCTCGAGGACAGGCAGTTCGAGCATGGTTTCCTGGCGGCCGCTGTTCCTTATCTCTGTGCCATGCTGCTTGCAGACAAATCTGCCTTGACCCATGCCCCATCACCCATGCCCCATCCCCCATCCCAAATTCACCATCCCCCATGCCCCATTCCACATGCCCCATTCCCCATGCCCCGTCCCCATGCCCCATCCCCAATGCCCCATTCCCCATCCCAAATTCACCATCCCCCATGCCCCATCCCCAATGCCCCATTCCCCCTCCCAAATTCACCATCCCCCATGCCCCATCCCCAATGCCCCATTCCCCATCCCAAATTCACCATCCCCCATGCCCCATCCCCCATCCCATGCGTCATGCCGCATCCCCCACCACACACACATGTATGTCCTCCACGCTGCCCTGGTGCCCTCTGAACTTGCTGTCGCCCACCACCCACTTGCCGCCCTCCACTGGCCGCCACTCCGCTATCCAGCCCTTGCAATCGCCTGCGCGCAAGGCAGAGCAGAGGCGACCGGGAGGGGCAGAGGCCACAGGTAGGGGCAGAAGCGACAAGGGGGGGCATCCCAGTACATGCACGGGGGCAGTGGGCGTAGGGAAGAGGCACCAGGAACAGAGGGAGGTGAAGTCATAGCAAACGGAAGCAGGGGTGCAGGCACGCAAGCATACCGAGACACGCATAATCGGATGCATCATGATGCATGTATGATGCATTAGCCCACCCAAATGAGCCTTTAAAACCGTGCATGAAGCGAAAATCCCAACTTCGCCGACCTTCCACCTGCACTGCGACAACCAGAGCGGGATCAGAATCGTCAGCCACACCAAACGCATCGCGCTGTGGTATTTCTTGCGAAGGTTGATCTGACCTAGTGCCCAAGCAGGTGACATGACAACCAGGCCCTCAGATTCGTTTTTGGCCTCTCTGATTCGTCAGACTAGTACACAGTATTAGTCTAAAGGCTGAAATTTCAGAGTGTCTTTAAATAAAAGTCTGAACATTCGAAATCAATGTATTCAATGTTTGATCAGAAATGTATTCAATGTTTCGTTCATCTGATACCGAAACAAGCAAGACTAAGGGGATTTCCGGGAGAATGCTCTGACAGGGCGAATTTTTGTGTCAGGGCGAATCTTGTGGTGTGAAAGGGCGAATCTGCAATGTCAGGTGGAATTGTTTTGTGATTGGGCGAAATTGTTGTGCTCTGACGGCGCAAATCTGTGGTGTCAGGGCGATTTTGCTGTGATTGGGCTAAATTTTGTGCTGTAAGGCGCGGATTTGCTGTGTCAAGGCGATTTTGCGTTGACAGTGCGAATCTGCTCTGACCCGTGAAGTCCGGATCACCAGTCAAGATTGTCTTTATACTCTGAAAGATCAGAGTACACTCCCGGAAAACTCTGAAATTTCAGAGTTAGCCTTAAAAGGGTCTGAAACTTTCAGAGTTAAGGCCCTAAAAAGTCTGAAATTTACAGAGTACACTGAAAAAAAAAAACTGAAATATCAGAGTTTTTTGGCCAAATCAAAGAAAAAAGTCTGACTTCTGAGGGCCTGATGACCACCGACTTTCTCACGAAGCGACTGCCCCGTCCGAAGTACCAGCACTGCTCCGAACTGAGCGGTGTAGTCAAGCAAGTCAAGACTTGCTACGGCGAGGAATGGAGTGGGGTGTTACGAACAATAAATTGAGAACTACTGTACATTCCCACCAGTATCAAGTCAAGAACACAAACGCATGTATGAAGGCGAAAAATCAGACATGACGTGAAGAGTCACGTACGGTTGGTAGCATCTGGACCGTCGGAGCAGAAGCATCGTGATGTTATTGTCAGAATGTTATCATTGTCTAGTGAGTACAACCCAAATTAGGGTTTGCTATATGTACTGCCCTGCTTACTAGTGAACCTCTCCTTTCTGCTTCTAACTTTCTGCTTGCCTTTCTAACATGCTATCAGAGCAGGTCGACCCCCTCGGGTCGATCCTGTGGATGGGCCCACCTAAGTCTTCCGCTGCTGTCCTTCCTATCGAGCGCCTCGGGTGCGCGACCTTTCCTGCCTGCCGCGCGCTAGAGGCGCGTGGCGTTTATTTTCTTCCCGCCGCGCGCCGGCGGTTTTCTGCCTGCCGTGTGCCCCGGGGCGCGCGGCGGTTTTCTGCATGGCGCGCCCCCCCCCGTCGACCCTCGCGTCGCCACAGGGGACCCGCGCGCGCCCCCCCGTCGGCTCTCGCGCTGCCTCGCTGGACCCGCGCGCCGCACCCCGTCGACCCTCGCGTCGCCTCCGGGGACCCGCGCGCGCCCCCCGTCGACCCTCGCATCACATGCGGGATCTGCCCGCTGCCCCCCGTCGACCTTCGCGTCGCCCCCGGGGACCCGCGCACTGTCCCGCTGGACCCGCGCGCCACCGTCGCGGTGCCCTGGGGAGCCGCGCGCGGCCCCTCGCTGCCCCGTGGTGGCGCCCTGGGGGCCGCGCGCCGTCCCCCTCGCCGTCCCCCGCGCTCCTACCCCGTGCCACCCGTTTTAGGGTTTGGGGGTGGGGAGTGTGGGGGTGGCGGTTCTGGGGGTGCCGGTTGTGTGCGCCGTCCCCTACTCCTCCTCCTCCTCCATCTCCCACTGCTGCAGCTGCCGCTGAGGGGGGTGGGTGTGTGGGAGCCGAAGGAGTGGTACTAGGGGGGTGACGTGGGAGTGGAGCTAGGGGTGTAGCAGTGGGTGTGTGAAAGGGGGGTGGGACAGTTGGGGGAGGTTGAGCGGAGGCTGCCGTCTTGTCGTCCGCAGCACCTGTAGTCCGGGGCGCTGTCCTGGTAGCCCAGTCGTAGCCAGCTGCGCCAGTCGCCCGTGGGTCCGTTGCTCCTGCCGCTCAGAGTTAGCCGCAGAGCCAGTTACTCCAGTAGTCCGAGGCGCTGTTCCGGTAGCCCCTGTGCCAGTGTGACTCCTGTTGCCCGTGTGACTGCAGCTTCAGCCGTCGCCAGAATGTTATCATTTTCTAGTCTGCAGTGGGGTACTCTATAGTGAGTACAACCCAAATTAGGGTTTGCTATATGTACTGCCCTACTTACTAGTGAACCTCTCCTTTCTGCTTCTAACTTTCTGCTTGCCTTTCTAACAGTTATAACTGAAGGATCGCAGTGGATAGGATAAAGCTGCTAAGTATATGAGAGAACTGTGAAGTCTCTGTAGTGACCTTGTTAATAAATTGAGAGAGAACAAGATGATTATAAGATAGGAGTACAAGAATATAAATAGCAATCCTAGCTAGCCATGTACTCTGAGGGGGTACATTCCCTTATTAACTGAATTGCATTGCTACAGTAACCACGACAATTGCCATTCTAGACAGTTACCACGTTGCACTTCGCAACAGCCTTGTG